TTTTTTCTTCTCAATTTTGTGTGGAAAAATGCGGGGATTATGCGGCCTTTTGATAAATATGCGGCTTTTTAAAAATCTGCGCCATTTTGCTGATTATGCGGTAAATTCTGCGATCGCAGAATCGCGTTTTTCTGGAGGGTCTATCTCTCCCTGTATCGCTAATTATTCTCTTCACTCACTTTCCTCTCCGCTTCTCTCTGCCGCGCTCTCGTCTCTTCTTCTGTGTTTCTCTCCCTGTATCGCTCACTCGTCTCTTTCGCCCCCTGTCGGCAGCGGTTAAAATAGAATCGCCCCGTCAAAATTGAAATCCCCTATTAATGTATTGATTATAGGTCCGGGTCCGTATAGGTCTGGGTCCGTATAGGTCTGGGTCCGGATCTGGACTGCGGTCCGCCTGTTGCTGACCCCTGCTCTAGATGATAGGAAAGGAGGCTTCAAACTTCCTTTATAACCTCCTTTAGTTTAGGAACCACTGGACCTCCCTTTACGAAAGGAGAGGAGAAAATGCTGCCCCACAATGCCTTGCAGCCGCAGCATTCGCAGTCACACAACATTCGGCCGTTCACGGAAACAACCGATTATGACCGAGAAATGATATCATGACATTTACGGTGCTTATTAAGCTTTTTAAAACGTATGTGGTAATTTGCCAAAGTGCTTTGTTTTGATTGTTCATCAGTATTATAATCAAAAAGAGAAATATGAACGTTAGTTTTTACTGAAATGATCAAATAAAGTCAACATTTCACAGTCTTTACTGAGCTGTGTGGAGTTTGTTCAACTTTTAAAAGATATTTGAATGGTGATATACACAGTGATAGATGTTAAGGACTAACGTTTATAATAAATACATTTGTATTTATTTTAAGATCTTTTCATGCAATAATACGTATTGGGATCATTTGTATTAATGTGGACCGGAGGGAGAGGGTTACGAGCATAAGTTTTACTTTCCATTTTTTATTTCAATTCAACTTTGGTCCTGAAGAATATGTTTCTCTGTTGTCCACGTTCATAAAGCATAAAGCAACAGCATCAGAGCACGGTTCAGAGTCTCTAGATGAGTTTACAGTAGTCCCTCGTTCTTATTGAACATCCATGTTGTAGTCTGCTGTTGAATGCAGCTATTTCCACATCTACACTCCATCAGCTGATTATTTCTATTTGCCTCACTTTATGAGCTTCACAACATGTACCTTGTTTTGCAACGTCACAAATAAATGGGGCCAATCTTCAGTCAGATGTGAATGTGTAATCTAACATTTTCAGTAAGAATAATGGACAAAAGGAGAGCAAATACAATTTATTGAAATGTGAACCAAAAGTTAATCAAATGTTTTAAATAAAAAGCACATATGGACAGAAGGTGTAAACCTATTAAATGTATTAAACACATTTAGTCAAATAAAGTGACAGACTAGGCCTGTGCAGTTGGTATCAGCTTTGCCCAGCATGGGCTCCTCCATCAGGCCTGGTCCTCCTCGCAGAGGAAACACCCTCAGTCCTCTCCAAACCAACAGACAGGACGTCCATCACACGGAGGTTTCTCCCTGAAGTCTCTGCTGCTCTCTGGACACCATGCTGTCTCAATCCGTCCACACTGAATATGAGAGGGGGAAAATGAAAATAATAAATGCTTTAGACCAGTGGTTCCCAAACGGTGTGTCCGGGTGTGCCGTGGGATTTTGTGACAACCATATGTTATTATTGCAATATACAACTACACAAAAATAATTATTTTTTAATTTACTATATCAGTACTTTTTAGCTTTATATGTATGTAATCTGCGCGACTTGCGTGTCCACATCTCCACGTGCAGTGCTGCATAAACATGGCTGAGTCAGCGATAACTTTCGAGGGGTGGAGGTCTGCCCATTATTTTGAGTTCGTCCGAAGAATAGACAGAAATGTGACGGTGAGGTGCAAACTGTGTCCAGGCCAGAAGCTGTTATCCACTGCTGTAAACACCACGTCAAACCTCAACAAGCACCTGCAAAGAACACATGCTAAGGTGAAGCTAACGCACACGCTATTTGTTGTTTGTTTACATCACGTAGTCTGTTCTTCTTCTCTGTCTTCCGGTTGTTGCCTGTTTTGAATGACAAATACACACTACCGCCGCCTGCTGGTAAGGACAGTTATTGCCACTCACGCATGCGCGTGTAAAGTAACGAGTAAAGTAACGAGTTACTTTATGTAGATGGTAACGAAGTAGTGTAATATATTACTTTTTTTTTTAAGTAATATGTAATATATTACATTTTTTTAGTAACGACCCCATCTCTGGAGTTGGCGTTCTGTACTCTGATTTACATGAAGAATAACAGGAGGTCACGGCTCTCTGTTGAACAGGACTTGCAAGTGGCCCTCTCCTCAGTGCCACCAAGGATTAAAAAATGCTGCACGCCCCGACAGGCACATGTATCTCACTAATTTGTAAGTCGGCAAAAATATTTACAATAGCACATGTTTCAATGCTGATTGCTGAAATGTTACATTTATAATTTGTAGTTCAGGACCATGCAGTGCAGCTTCCTTGCATTGACAGTTCTCTGTGCTGAATTTCTGCTGAGTTTCCTTTGCCTCATTTTTAATTGTGTGACCTGTCTGGTTTAAATGAGTGTGTTGCTGCTTTGATGAAGCCTAATTTGATAAAGTTTCAAATTAATTTCTGAAATATTTCGTTAATAAATAGTTCACGTGTAATAACGTCTTTGTCACATTTAATTTGGCATTAGTAAATAATTATGCACATTTACAGATATTTTACATGATATGAGTGATAATACGTGTTATAAGGGCTATTTTGCACAAAAGGTGTGCCTTGAGATTTTTACTTGTCCTTTGGTGTGCCTTGGGCACAAAACGTTTGGGAACCACTGCTTTAGACAATAAGAAACATAAAGTTGACTGTTGAGTTGCTCAGTTTTTTTAGATTGTCAATACTATTACTGTATAACTAATATCTCAGGTTAAGAGGCACATTCAAATAAAGATTGGTCTTTAAATACATTTTGTCTTTTGAATTGTTTGTCTAAAGTCAAGGATCTATAACTGGTACTTAGTTTTAATGATACAGTCTGGTTATTATGCTGTTTGGAGGAGGCCTCACAGGTAAGAGCACTAACTAGCTACCATCACATGTACCTTAGCTTGACTTAAATGTATTAAACGTATAGTTAAGTGATATCAAAATATAAATAAATAACTAATGTCATGCAAACATATTAATATTTGCTTGATTCCAGTGTTGAATTTAGCACAATTGCATACAAACGTTAAAGGGTTTTAAGATTCTGAAGTATTATGTTAAAACTCAATAACTTAGATTATTATTTATAGTTTTGCTGAATAGTTTCATGTCCGCTTACCTTAGAAACGTAAAATGCGACGGCAGCATGCAGATGGGGAGCATGTTAGCTTAGCTTGGTAGCTTCAGCTAGCTCTGGAACTTCCAGCTCGGTGGCAGCAGGTCCCGCCTCGGCTCCGCCTCTTTGCCCTTATTTGGAGCAGGCTGGAGAAGGTGGGAGTTGAACTCTGACGTCACTGTCGAGCCGTTAGTGGCCGACTCCGCCTACTAAGGGCTTCACGGCAACTCTGCAGAATCCTATGGGTGACGTCACAGACCCTACGTCCATTTATATATACAGTCTATGACTTAACCCCAAATAAAAGTAGTGACAGAGGGAACCGGAGGGAACCAAGCCCCCAGGAAGTGCGCCGGAGTCTGATGAGAATATTCGTGCTGGTCAAACGGCGGTACTACACTTCCTTTAGGTTGCTGGGCCCGGAAACACTTTTTCCCATTGACTTCCATGGGGAAAGAGTGGTCTGTAACTCGTTGGATAATTTTTTTTAAACAAAATAAACTACCCAGTATGAACGTTTGTATAGCCCTTATTAAAAACATTCGTTCCTCAAGTTGTAAAAAATGTGCTAATAACGTTATTCTGAGTTATTTCCCTCGGCATTATGAACGCGCATCTAACCCACGGGACCGCGCCGCCCGGCACGTTCATGTTACGTGTTCAGTACTACATGAGTTTCTCTTTACCCATGGATGCACAATAACAACGGACCATATCGCCTTACTGCCAGCCCACGGAGCTGTAATAATGGATATATTGCACATGTTTGCTGTAATTCATCATGTGTAAAATAGTATACTACATGGGCTGTATGATGTAAATCTTGTACCGTAAATGTTGTATTAAATAAAGTTAATATTACCGACGTAGATTAACGTTCCTGTAGCTTCTTATTGCACTTGCAATTGTTTTAGTTACTTGTGGGCTACTTAACATGAATAATCACAGTTACTATCCTTTTACTCCATCACATTTAAAAAAGAAATAGGCTATTGTTATTTTAACTCCACCACAGTAATCCATCATTAGCTTTACTTTTTAGATAAAGTTTTAACTCACAATTGATCATAACAGGCTTCAACATATACATTTTTATATATTACCAAGTGGTTTCATGTACAACCCACACAAGTATCATGCTAAATGAAGCTATGTTGCTTGGATATCACTAGATCCTGATGTCAGCGTAATATAAAAGTACATAACGATTGATGTGTAACTTAGAATAATTTACTAGCTAGCCGCTAGCTGCTAACTGCCGCCTCGTTCATATAAATCCAGTACCATGCTGTCATGAACGCGCGGTGCTGTTACGTGTACGCAAATTCACGTGCTTAATGTGAACGAGCCTTTTGGGCGGCGTGGTTAAAGTTGCGCATGCTCTATGAGTGCACATACGGGTACTTCTCAGGCATGCCGGGTAATCTGTGATGTTTCGCTCTCTCAAAAGTTGGGCCATTTTTGTCATTGAGCAACTCTCATAGGAATGAATGAGGCCCCGCCTCCCACGCTGTATCCAGTTCTTATTATACATCCATGGAGGGAACCCATGCGCAGCTTACTTCCGGGTTTTAGGATGCGTCACTGCACCACTCTATGTCCGGCCTGCAAAGTAACCAGTACGATAATAGCCTTTCAGTTCCCCCCAACAATTTGTATTGAAATAAATCAACATGGAACCAGTAATCACTAACTTTGTTTTCCCCGGCCCCTTATCGGAGAACACCCAGCTAGTAACCTAGCAACCAAGCTTCAGGTAGCGGCAGTCAGAAACTCAGGTAGGCTATCTTCAAATCTACTTACAAATAAATATGGGGAAGTGTAAGTTCAACCGTATTTGGTTGGAAAGCATCTCATTTGGTGCTTGGTTGAAACCAGTGGAGGGGAACGTGTTTGAAGCCCGCTGCACCTTTTGCAAAAAACATTAAGCGTTTTTTTGTTGCAAATGTAGCGTTAGCTAGTGCAGCAGCTCCCGCAACAACACCGGGTTTGAATACATTTACTTTGTAAGTAATTATGGGACTTATTTCTTTATATCCAATCGAAGGGGGGTTCCCCATCCTCACCTTAAGACACAACACTCTTACTCACTGTAAACATTATATTTGTTCGGTAAGATAGAGAAATACCTGCTTTGTCACAGCTCTGAGATAAAAACAGCAAGTAGTACAAATACAAGATAAATGGTGATATGGGATAAGCAGATAAAAGAACCAGCTTGTGATTGTTTCTAACAAACTGTGGGGTTTTCACTGCATTATGGGAATGTCAAAGATTGTTCTGTGGAAGTGATTTGGGAGGCCTAAACAGTTTTCAACTGCCATTTGATCTGTATTAGTCCTCATTTGACCCATTGTGGGCCAAAAGCAACAAAACACAAATAGCTGCCATGCTTGTTTTACAAATACCATTACAACTCTCCCGGGGAGACATTACAATAGCTACATAAGAACAATGTCAACAAAACTTTAGGAGCAGTTTAAAATAAGATTCTTAACAATCAATATTGTTGATTTGATCACAAACGCTTTGCCTGAAGGCGGCAAGAGGATGATATGTTCTCCTCCTGAGATTAGACTACTGTACATAGTTTAAGTCCCTTCTGGCCTATTTATAGTGTTGGCCCTTGCAACAATGTCATCTGTAACTCGACTCCATCTGTTAAGTCGGAGCATGTTGAATGTCAGTTGCCAGAAGCAGAAGCAGTTCACTTCCCACCAACTCTCCTACCGAGAACCCCATGGAGATTGTCGGACAACCGGGACCTTCGGGGGCCTGTAGCCTCCTCGGAGTGCCCCTGCTCGGCTGCTGGGACATGGACGAAGATAATTGTGAGGTGCTGATCGGCATCAGGCCAAAATCATCGCCTCTCCCAAGGAGAAGGAGCTCTGTTGAGGAGGACGAGGAGCCAGAGACGCCCTTGTCCAGCTCCAGGAGAGTGTCCTTTGCAGACGGAAAGGGCCTCAGTTTGGTGCAGGTGAAGGAGTTTGGCACATGGGATGTGCCCAAGCTGCCAGAATGCAACCTCTCTGTGGGGAATGCTAAAGATGCAGAGGAGTACTTCTTATTTCCTACAACGTTCTCACTTCCGTTGTCTACTGAAGAACTGTTTCTGAAAGTCCAGACACAGAAAGTGGAGTTGGAGAACATTGAGTTCGTACCAGGGACCACAATACTGAAAGGAGTGGTCCGAGTTCTCAACGTATCCTACAATAAGGCGGTATATATCCGAACCTCTTTGGACTCTTGGTCGAGCCACTTTGACCTCCTGGCAGAGTACATGCCCGGGTCCAGTGACAGTTTGATGGACCTTTTCTCATTCAGGCTCACCCTGGTGCCTCCGTTTGGGGAGCAGGGAGCCAGAGTGGACTTCTGTCTGCGATATGAGACTCCGTTGGGGACTTTCTGGGCCAACAATAACTACAGGAACTACGTGCTGTCCTGCCACCGGAGAATGAAGGAGAGGAAAGAGAAACCGCAGAAGGAAAATGTAAAGAAAAGCTGCCTAAAGACTGTCAGGTGAGGATATAAAGTGTTTCACCGGTTGTAAAGGTCACTGCCCATAATAGTTTTAGACACAATGTAATTTGTTTTATTTTCATGACAGGAGAAATGTCCAATGTGCTAAAGGTGGAAGAGCAGGCTGGCCAGTTTCTGACATAGGATTTTAAAACATTTGGGCTACAGTTAATCCTGATATATCTCTGGTATTGTTGTAAATATAGTATGAATGCCATGAAAAGAGAAGACAAAGTCAAAAGACATTGAATTGTGCAGACTAGCTGAACAGGTTTATTAAAGTGTATTATGCAAGGCCTGTATTTGTATGCAATGTACGTTTTAAGCAAACGTGGTGTTAATATCCTATCCTATAGTATTGCTTGATTGACATTTAAATATTTTTGGTATCAAATCGTTTCATATCTCAACATGTTGCACTTTGTGGTTTGTTCATTGTTGAAAGTCACATAAAAGTCTGACTCATCAAAATGTCACTGATCCACAGTCAGCCCTTCTCCACTGTGGAAAACATGTCTGCAACTGAGGCTCCATATCAGGAAAACATTTCAACAGGTGATGATTGATTTCGCTAATTGTAGAATTAACAAAATTAGGAATTTGAATATGCCTTGACGTACATTTTAATGTCTCGTTTCTCCAGATGTGTCAAACCATACAGAGCAAGCGGACACTATGAAACCAAATCAAATCCCTACAAACCAGTCCGCAACATCAGAGGAAAATCAGCAGAAATTACTGGTGAGAAAAATTCAAAAACACAAAATACTTAACTGTCTCTTTTTCCTTTTTGGCACATTTAAACCAAGTCACAACAATGCAGTTTACTAATAAATGTTATGGTTTGTGTTTGCGGACTTTAGGCCAATGCGATACCGTTTTGCTACTAGGTGAATAAGCATTTATATACCGTGAGCTACAATGATTGACAAGCTACTTGGGATTATCAAAATATTCTTAAAATCCTAAATCCTTTTCATCAGACTCCACATGATATTTTTGATTGCTTAAACTATCTTTTATTTAAGTACTTAATAGGACATGTTTGATTCATTTTTGGCTATAATAGGAGGTTAAAAGACATGCTATTGAGGTACAGGAGGAACAGAACACTTACATGAACCCTGGTGCACTTTCTGAGGGAATATCACATGACCAAATAGCACCAGAGTAACATCATGTACTCAGCACCTAAAGGACATTCAGTGCTGTCTGCAATTCAATTTGTCATGCATGATATTTTAATACTTATTTTTGATTTTCTTTTTATATTTAGGTAAATAATGCAGTCATGTCATTATTTATTCAGATCATGTTACACCTAACACCATGACTACCGTGTGAGAAAATAACAATGATATATATCCCTGTTGTTGATGGACAGGCCGAGAGCAAACAGGTCTCCAGCCAAAGAAATCGCAGGAATGCTGCAAGGATGGCTCGGCTGAAGGACTACTTTTCTCAGGAAAATGGAGGAGCGGATGACACTGAAAGAGATGAATCACCTCCAGAAGCAAAACAGCCAGCCCAAGAGGAAAGCCCAGAAGAAAAGCGAGCAGATGTGCGATATTTTCCCGAGGAGAGCAGTCAATCAAAAGGTTCTTACTTTGTTTCTGTGTCTCTGGAAACGTGCAGCGCACCTCTCCTTGATGTTTCACATGATACGTCAACTACACGCCACTACGTGTCCAACAGTGAGACGGCGAAATCTGAGAGCGTCACTGCCACAGATATCTCACTCAACCCATTACATCCAAACGGTGAGCCCGCTCCTGATGAATGCCGAAATATCAACAAGTGCGTCTCAAAAGCTGAGGAAGGCCACTTTGCAGTGAAACCAGCTGACAGTATTATTTTGGAAGTGAGCATTGAAAGCCTTGTTAGCGAGGCCAACAGCTTCACATTTGGAAATGTGGTGGCTCCGCTTTATAATCAGGTGCTTGGCAGAGTGGGAAGTGAAAGTGATCGGGGAAATCCAGTACGGGCTACACTCGATGTTGGAGACTTACCTCAGAGTAACTGGCACTCTGAAGGGAGACAGACTAGCTATACAGGGCATGATGATGGAATTCAGGGGGATATGATTAAATATCAGAAATCAAAACAAGAATGCTTAGGTGCCCCTCCAAAAAGTCCTCAAATTGAAGAGAAGGAAAGCTGTTTGAGCGACACGGTAAACAACATCCAACACCATGTAGAAACTCAAGATGATGTTATTCATTTAGACCAGAGATGCACCATCACATCGGAGGTTCCAAAAAACATTGCAGAAGACGGAGTTGTAGATCCACACAGTGCAAACGTTTCAATAACACATTTGTTACAAACACCCACAGAGAGTTTACATCTCCAGGAAGACAATCTCACCCAGGACCTCGAGGATCATACATGTGCACAAACTAAAACTACTCTAAGTGACACACTTACGGAAAGTGAAACTCATAAAGCCATGGCTAAACTAGAAACCTCATTCATGTCACCTCAAACTTATCAGAGTGAGTCAGACTGTGTTAGCGAGGAGGAAAACACACTGACCAGCTCTATTGGCGAAAATGGCTGTAAGTGTGTAGAGGAGTCAAACGTAGAACAAGATAACGTAGGCAAAACAGGGATAATGTCGACACCCAATGGCCTTTTAGAGGAGAATAAACTACTAGAAGCTTTACACAATTTGAACTCAAAGCACATCAATAATTCTGCTAAAAAAGAAACTGTGAAAATTGAGGAAATTGTGGAGGAAAAGGACACTCTGATATCTATTGAAACTGATAAGAGCAACTCGCATATAGATGATTCAAAACACTCAGCTGAAGTTAAGGTCATAGGTGAGGTAGCTGAGTCAGCGACAAAAGCCAGAATAACTAATCACATACACAGTGATGTGCACAAAAACTCCCAAAAAATAGAGCACCATGAAATTGTAAATGCTGTCCCGAAAAAGGGGGATTTTTGTATAGCAGACACTACTGAGGTAAACTGGGAAATGATGGTTGAAGAAGAGGAGAACAGCATGTTAACAGATGAAGAGGAGAGTGAGGTCATATGTTTAAAAGCAGTGGAGAAACACCAAGGAGAGTTGGAGGACACATTTAAGGAGGCAGCATCAGAAATCAGAGATACAACACAGACCGACGACCAAAAGATGGAGATCACAACTGCCAAAGACGAAGAGAACAAAGCTGAGGTTGCAGATGATCTAGAGGGCAATAATGGGGTTATAGAGGAGGACATTGGGGAGATCTTGGCTGGAAAACATGGGGAGGAAGTTGAGGAAGAATTAGAATATGTTCAAGAACCACCCGAGGAGATTGAAGGAGAGAAAAAAGATGAACAAGAGGGGATAGAGTTAGAGAAACCCTTTGCAGAGATACAAGAAGTCAATATTGAAACGACAAATATCCTAAATGAAGAGGAAATAAAGATGGAGGAAGAAATTACGGATGAAGTCAAATCAAGGGAGGGAAACGTAGAACAGGAGGATCCAGATAGGGAGGGAGTTCTAGTTCTTGAAACAGGAGAGTCGGACATCATGCTTCTAGAGATTATAGAGGATAATGAAGCAGGGGGTTTTGAAGAGAAGGTCGACTTTACACAAAACGAGGATGGTCTATCTGCTCTGGTGAACAATGAGCACAACAAGAGAGTAGCTGACAAAGAAAATGGACACATCCCAAAAGAAATGCAAGAGACAGATTTCCAAAGCAGTGTGAGAGATGATAATGAATCCACAGCTGCAGAGGAAGGTTCCTGCATTTCTACAGAAGAAGCTGAAATCGACAGTGAATCTGCGGAGTCCGACTCAGACGACGAGGTGGAGTTATACATGCACTGTCTGAGGGCCGTTCACACCGGGGCCCAGAGCAAAGACGTAGGTTATGTGCAGGGCTTACGGTCCTACGTAAGCAAAGGCAAACTGCTGTCCACACGCATGCCCTCCATCAGTGAGTCTCTGGATGAAGAGCAAGACCTGGGCGGCCTTCAGGACAGCCATGAGGAGACGGCAGACTTCCAGCCCACAGCTCTGCCAGCGACAACTGGACAGGGAAGCCTCAACAGACATGTGTCATGGTGGAGAGAGACTTTTTCCTGCAGCAATATCTCCAAAACATTGTTATACGCCACCTTGTTAGTGGTATTTTTAGTCGTGGTCCAGCGTTATGATTTTCTTGCCTGTTTCGGGCTCTACTTGGCATCTGTGGTTTGGCTCTACCATCAGGGAGAGAGGCAGCCAGGACAACAAAAACAACATAAGAGGTAGAATTATAATTGGCTGTGAACGGTAATACTATCATTAGAATTTGATATTTTCTCTTCATTTGAAGATATGTGAACAGGTGGTATTAATAATGGTCTAAATAGAAAAAGGAAATAGTTGGTAATGGGCATTAATAAATGCGACACATATCAGATTAAATGCTGTATATTCCCTATGGGAGGATGCTAACTCTGTTGTCTAGAGTATGTACACATTTTCTTTATGCTTTATTTTACATAAAACTCAGCATTAACGCAGACAACAGGCAGCGTACCATTGCTCACACTGACATATATTTTTGAAGTGTAAATACAAGTGATCTGTGTGTGTGTGGATGCTATCTATACATCTTTTTGTTTTGTAGGGTACATTTATTTTTCATAAGTCTTGAATAAATCAATTGTGTTCAATGCTTTTAACACTATTAGTGTTTGCAACTGTTTTGTGTTGTTTAGTAGAAAGAGGGTCACTCTTTGTTTTACTTTCCTGTATACAAATACATACAATATTTTTTTGTAAAACAGGAAGTGTTTGAGGCAGCCTAATATCATCAGGAGTAGTAGTTAGGTTTGGGGAATTATGGAAGCTTCTGGCATTTAGTGAACAACTCACAAATATTTCCTTTACCTGAATCAAGGTTTATTAGTGTCTTTTAATCTATAGAGGTTAAATATTAATTCCCATACCGGGAGTTGAACCCTGGCCGCCTGGGTGAAAACCAGGAATCCTAACCGCTGGCTAGACCATATGGGACTTGCATTCAGTAATACATTATCTGAGAAAACGTTGGTCATACCCTGAAACCAGATTATAATTGTTGGATTATTCATGTCTCCAGTGTGTTGTTTACATGTCTTAATCCAAGGCTGCAATCTGATCAAAGCACGTATGATGTTATCACTTATGAGTATTCAAATATGTTTGACATCAGAGATATAGACCCTGATAAGATGCTTTGTAGTAGCCTGAAAATCAATATGAAGAAAGCAGCTGCTGGGAGAAAATACAAGTTCGATAGTTTAAAGATTGTTCTGTCCTTATCTCATCTTGCCAGCAAAGTTGTTCTAAATAAAGGACAACCCTTGAGGTGTGTCAATGTGCATTTCTGACATACTGCCTTCAGTGTCAGTCTGCAATAAATCAATACACTTAATTCGATGCTTGTTCAATGTTGTTGTGTAGTTTTGTCTCAGAATAAATCAACAGGGAGGAACATTGAGTCCCTTGTGGAAACAGCATAGCAAAAGTTCCCTGTTTGAACTTTGGCTTGTAGCTGTGTTTTGAGCTGAACACAGCTGCAGTAATGTCAGTACAATCCACCGGGAGGAAGACCACGCTCTTTTGCCAGATGAACACGAGGTTGTTTAGCCACCAAAAGAAACACTAACATTTTCAACAAGTGACAGATAGAGATAACTGACTGTGCTAAAATCTTAATCACCTTTCCAGACATGTCTTTTAGATCAATTTCCAATTATCGTCTTCATGGACATGTTATTTTCTTTTATTAACTTGTAATCAGTGAGTTGAGTTTAATATGACCTTTAGATATCTGGGATTCTTTATCGGACCGTGATATTTCAAGAACATTAGATCAGACACATAGTTAGAAACGTATTCATTCATAGTCATTTATGTTTCATTTCTTATGACATCAACCAGTCAATTTTTACTAGCCGTGCAGTGGGGGTTTTTGTTTAAATGTCTCATCAGAGCACACTAAGGGGTAGAGTGACCTGGCTGGCTAGTGACATGGTGTAATTAATATTTTTATAACAGCCAAGTGTTTAATCCTGCAGACTGCAGCCTGTCCGACCTCTTTCTAGGACGTATACATTATTACTTGAGGGCGGTGATAAATTATGATTAGTGACATTATTAGTATTTGAAGCCAAGGAGAATTTCAATACGAAGATATGGTGCTGACTTCATACTTGAAGAAACATTATAATGTTTATTTAGAATATCTATATTCACATTTAACATAATACACAATTCCAATACATGCATACTAGAAAAGATACAATTTACATGAGAGGAATTACAGTTTCAGAGGCCTTTCTCCTGTCTTTGTTACAAACAACTTTTCCTGGAGCATTGATATAAGACCTCACATAACGATGTTCCATTAATACAGCACTTAAGTTTTAATGGTGAAATTAATCCCAACCATGACTAAACAGTGAAACCACAGCTAAGAAATCTAAGCACTGACCATGATGTGCTGTGTTTATTTTTGGAAGTCGGGATTAGTTATGTTCTGCAATAACGTATAAATGCAGTTTGGATAACACAACTTTAGATACAACTGCATTGTCTTTACTTTGCACTGAATTCAGAATTTGAGCAGGACAAAAGCTGTACTGAAAGCTACAAATAATATTACTCTCACAACTGCTCAAACCCTGCCAATCCTTTGCTTTTTGAAAAATGTAGACTTCAATTTACACCGAAATGTAAATTATCATTGTCAGCAAACTAGTACAATGATAAACACATATTTAGTGGAGATCTGTCTTCAGAAATGTGGGAACCACACACTACTGAAACCATTGGGTGGCACTATATACACAGTGCACGTGAAATTGAATGCACAAGAAGGAAATACAACATGTTAACCATATAAAACACGTCTGTATTTGTATAAACCTTTTTCAATTCTAAAACATGTTTTTAAACTGATAAGATGTTTGTCTTTTTGTCAAACTATCCCATCATGACAGTATAGTAATGCAGTTTTCATTATATGCAATGCATTGCCTGTAAACAGCAGTGATATGCAGGGCTGCCTACTCTTAACACTGTGACATAATTGATTTACTATGTGAAATAAATATATACAGATATTAATCAATATATATAAATCTAAATAGCACACAAATTAAAAGAGAGAAAATAATAGATACCTGTACTACAACTTTAAATATTAAAAAGGAAAATTCAACAAAATTGAAAATGAATGAATAAAGAGATGTCAGAGCAAATAATAAACACAAATAAAAAATATAAATGCATAAAATATGTTGCATCTGTTAAACTGTCTGAAAGCGTTACATTTGCATATGCATTGAGTCATGTTATCATGTCATATTATAAAAAACATACTCTATTTTTGTGTCATGTCATGAGGTTTTGAGATAACTTCAGTAGTTGTAGTATTTCCGAGCTGCATTTAAACGCTCCATGGAACGCACGCAGGATCGTGAACGCTACCAGTTCTCTGATTGGACGCCGCACTGCCAGTTCTACAGCATGTGTGTCAAAGTCAACCAATCAGCTTGCGTTTTGTTGGCTAGTTCGCCGGTCGGTGTTTTTTTACAGCTGTGGAAAAGGGGAAGCGAAGCGACTGGCGAAAACAACAGCAGCATCGGCGGTGCGGTGCGGTGCGGTGTTATGGACCTCAGGGACAATGTCGAGACCGGGGAGACGGAAAAACACACCGAGTTGTTCTACGTGCCGATACCGGAGGAAGAACCGTGCAAGAGGGAGCAGGAGAAGCTGTCAGGGGTCGTGAAAAACGTCCACAGAAAACTGCGCAGGAAATACAGAGAGGGTAAGCAGCAGCTGCAGGGCCCCTAGGTCTCTGCATGGCCCTGCAGCCGAGGAACTAACACTGAACCGTAGCTCTTAAATTGTAAATGTAATACTTTCTGTAAACAAAAGCCCCTCTAAAGATAACCTACTCTGCTCCTTGCTAACGGTTTTGTTTTTGAGTCATTGGTTAGCTGTTATTCAGGCAGTGTAGCATTATGCAGGCCAGGCCTTTAAAGCTGCTTAACAATAACATTAAAAACACTGCTAAGGTTATTTCTGCTTTGATTTAAGTCCCTGGTGTAAACATGTTTTATCTCTCTGTTAAAACCAGTGTGCATTAGTGTAATAGATTACCAATAATCAGGTGGTGGAAAATGTATTCAGATTGTCTTCTGAACTATAAGTATTAATACTACACAGTAAACATATTCCATTACAAGTGAAAGTCCTGCATTGAGAACGGTACTTAAGTAAAAGTATGTAAGTATAATCAGGAAAATGTACTTACAGTTCTGTAAAAAGAGTCAAAGTACTCTAAAATATTAAAAAATATATGTTAATAAAAAAGCATCAAATCACATTTCAGAAGCAGAAACGTTGACATGTTTTACACAAAATAAATAATAGTTAGCAACATTGAGTAAATCTACTTAGTTACTGTCGTCCACTGCCCATAATAGACACTATAGAGCTTATCTGTTGAGACAATAAATTACCTATTTCCTATTTATTGCCTATATATGATAACTCTGTGGACTGAGCAAACCTTTTGTGCAACTTTTACAACTCTGTTGTTATTCAGAGATAGACAACCTGAGTAAATACCCCTTTCAACAGATTTGGTCAAAACAAGTACCTCACAGATTCACTAATGCAGTCTTTGTTGTAGTCTTTACTTCCACTGTGAAAGAAATGTCCCTTATGACTTACTCGTAAATAAAGATAAGATTCAGATTGACACTTTGTATAACATTTGACTTCAGGGTGGATTTACTTCTGCTTTTGCAATTTGGGGAAGTACAAAAAAGGCAAAAGAATAACCACTTGGTCGGCGCAGACGATGATGCATCTCTGAAACTGAGATTTCAGACCAAATGTTTACCCGGTATATTGAATGACATCTGTCTCATCTATCTTCAATCAGAAAAAAAATCACAACACAATTTAAGACTATAATTGTCCCTTACTGATGCAATAATGTCAAACAAAATGGAGCTTAATCCTCTCATGTGCTTGTGGAACACAACACATGACGTTAATAATAACGTTTGTGGATCTTTTTTTTTAAAACTCTCTTTTATTGATTTTCGTGGATCTTTCTAAAGCTGTAAAGACTGCATCAGGGTTGACATTCTACAATAGTTGGTGTGTTTTCAGATCAACAGCTATCTGTCTTGAGAACTAAAACATCTGTCTTGTTTCCCTTTATTAGTCATTTTAGATAGCATGGTGTAAAATGGGAAGTTTGGAAAAACCCTTTCAGCGCTGATTGGAAGTGATGCAGTCTTTATATCGAGAAAGGAAACATTATTTTATCATTAACTTGTAATTGTTGCATATTAGCTATTTGCAGGCTATATTTTTAAGTAACTTTGCAAGTATTAAAGCCACAAATGTCATGATTTTAAGTTATCTTTTAAGCTAATTTGTTTAGCTTGAATGCTTCTGAATCAAGATATCCATTTGAGTACATCACTGCTCCTGAATCTCAGAAACCACAGGTCGTCCTGCTCTTTGCTTCAAATGTTTAGATTGCTAGATAGAGCAGAACGAGAAGACTCTGAACAAGACAACTTTTAATTGTTTACACAATTCATCAAACTTTTCACAAAGGAGCTTAATATTTTTTGAGTCCAGGTTTTGCTGTTATGGGTGTACTTGTATGTGTTAAAACACAACATAGCCAATGATGTAAGGTTTTTAAATGATGTTAATAAGAAGTCATTTTTAGAGGAAATCAGACACTATTCGCGAGTCAGAGTTAGCGGCTAAATGGTTGTTTTTGTAGAATGTAACGGCACAGAGAAGCGTCCTGCTAGCGGACCTCATGAGTGGTTAATAAGGAAAGCATGATCTGGGAGGCTTGGCATTGAATCACAGCGTCATGCTCCTCCAGCGCTGCTGTTTACCACTACTCCTCTTGTTGTCCTTTCATTTCTGCAAATCCGAGGTTTATTTCCTTGTGGTCATGGGATTTCTCCCTTATCAGAGTGTTGGCCTAGGCTACAGGCTGTTAACTGTGAAGAAATGCTGAAGCGATTTTTGTTTTTTATAACTATGAAATGGCTATTTGAGTAAGATTGTTTTTCGAACGAACAGTTGCACTTCTGTGCTGGCAGAGGAGAGTCGGCATGTACTGTAGCAGTTAATGTAGCCTGAACCTTTTAAAAAGAAGTACTGGCATGTTTTGTTGCTGAAGGAGATAACCGAAGTTGGCAAGTAGGTTGTGAATGTTTGACTTGGTTTGGATTGATTTGTCACACTCAAAGAAGACAAGATTACAATTTAGACATAGTGATACCAGTAGATTAATCTGTGAACGTATCATTCCTTTAGTGTTTGAAGTCTTTGATTTGATTGTTTTTATTTGTTAGTTCTGTCCTAATTTTCAAAATGGTTTCC